TCAGTACACCGTGGATGTGGATGGTGAGTGCGGTACTGCTCCCGCAGACTTATCAGATATTCGGATGACCACCTCTTCCAGAATCGATCAAGCGTATTATTCATGTCGTTCCATTCTTCCACCAGTTGATCTTTGGTGGTTGTTCTTGGTTTCCATTCGGTTTCCAGCTGCGTTCTGAGTACGCATGAGCCTGTCCATGGTCGTAGGAAATCCACAGGGCGGAGCGGTGGCACATAATTCTCTTCTGACACATACGTTAGTGGTCGGCAATTTACGATCGCTTCCGTTTCTTTGGCGATGGTCAGTAGTTCTTCCATCTTCAAGTGACGATTATTCAGTGCATGTTTGAATGATACTTTGAAAAGGTGCACCATTTTTTCATATAGTCCGCCCTGCCAAGGGCTGAAGCTGGGGATGAACTTGAATTCAATTCTCCTGACAGCGCAGTAGTCTACGATGTCTGGATTCGGTTCTCCTTCTGAGGTAAAAGACGTCTGTAAATCGGCCACTGACTTGAACGTCTTTGAATTGTCGCAGAGTATCCATTTCGGGTACGCTGTGGTGGCGAAGAACCTACGAAGCGCGCGTAGTAAGGTACTCGCCGTCATATCAAGAACGAGATCGACGTAAATTGCCCTGGTGTTCAAACAGGTGAAGAGTAGCACCCAGTACTTCGTGGAGGAGTTGGTATCCATCTTGCATAAGAACGGTCCTGCGTAATCCATGCCTGTATTTTCGAAGGGGTAGCAGGGTCGTCGAACACGTCTAGCGGGATGAATCGGAAATTCCGGAAGTTTAAAGGGTTGGGCCTTGAATCGCTTGCAGTGAAAGCAGAGCTTGTTGAGTACCCGTTTCACAGCTACCCTGCCTTTTGATACCCATACTCGTTGTCGCAGTTCAGTAAGGGTATGGTTTACTCCACAGTGATTATTGATGAGATGAATATGGAGTATGTAGAGAGAGGTGATGTGACTTTCGCGTGGAAGATACACAGGAGTCATGGCTTCGGTTGAGAGATCCGCATTGTCCACTCGTCCTCTTGATTTCCAGAGGTTCAGTTCCTCGCACACAAAAAGGTTTAGTTGTTCCTTTACTGAAGCCGAAGGCGGATATTGTAACTGCGCTAATCGGAAAAGGATAACTTCGGCTCTAGCGTGCAGTGCTGACTCCGATTCTCCGAACTGTTGCTTAGCCTTTTTTGTTTTTCTGATGATGAAGAGAAGAATGGTGTACACAACGCGAAGTATCCTCAGCCAGCTGCTAAACCTTTCTGGTTGAATCAGAGTATCCGGACGAGGTGGGGGAGTTTGGAGTTCCCGTGTATGGTAGCTGCTTGGGCTCTGCTCAGAAGAGATGTCGTTCGGCCAGTGGTCGTCTGTTTTCGCAAGAAATGACGGTCCGTGCCACCATGTATCGTATGAAATCAGTTCTCCTATGGACAATCCTCTGCTTCCAACGTCGGCGGGGTTGTTGTTTCCAGGGACGAACCGCAAGGTAGTTTCAGGAGCATTCTCCTTGATACTCGTTATCCGGTTTCTGATGAAAACGGGTAAACTGGTCCCACTTTTGATCCACATCAATGCTACGTTGCTGTCGGACCATATGAAGGCCTTACTCAAAGGAATATCGAGGTTTGCACGTATATATTTCAGCAGTTTCGCTCCCAAATTGATGGCGGATAGTTCGAGTCGAGGTATAGTCATCGGTGACTTCAGTGGCGATAACCGCGTTTTGGACATGAGAAGAGAAACATTCCTCGTTGCTCTGACTTCTACGAGGTAAGCTACCGCACAATATCCGGCCTTCGAGGCGTCCGTGAAGACGTGAATTTCAAACGTGGACGAGTCTTTCGTACCTGTGAGCAGTCTGCGTGGGAGTACAATTTTCGAGGCAGTCCAGCTAGACGTGATTTCCTTCCACGTTTTGGTGAGATGGTCTGGTAGAACTTCATCCCATCCTACTTCCTCTTTCCATAGAGACTGCAAGAAGAGTTTACTTGTGAAGAGAACAGGAGAGCACCAACCTAATGGATCGTATGTTTTGGCGGCAATCTTCAGCACTTGTCGTTTCGTCCATGTAATATCTGGATTCGGCAACGTAGGGAGTTTGATGACGAATTGATCTTCTTCGACGTTCCAGGAGATTCCGAGGATTTTGTTGTTGCAATTGATTTTCGTGTCTTCTTTTTCAGCGAAATAGTCGTTGAGCTCAGTGGAGTTGCTCACGTACTGTCGAAGATTCATACCGGCTCGTAGAAATAGATCCTTCGACTCGCTGTAGAATTTCTTTCCTTGATCAATCGTGTTGACTCCGTAGAAAATGTTATCCACATAGGTGTTGCGAATGAGGTCCTTCGCAAGATCGCTTTCCATCATTGATAGATGATAGCGTATAGTCCCTGCGAGAAGAAAGGGAGAAGAGATTAAGCCGAATGGTACTCTTCGAAACCTGTACGTGATAATGTTGCTCGAGACGACGGGTTGTTGAGGATCTTTGAGCCACAGGAAGCGTGTGAAGTCCTTGCTTTCCTCGTCTAATCCGATCATCAAGAATGCCTTTTCAATGTCACTTGAAATGATAATGGGAGCTGTTCTTACACGAAGGAGTAATCCTGTGAGATCAGGAAGTAGTACTGGGCCTCGGAACAGTAAGTCATTCAAACTTGGACTGTTCTTCGTTTTGGCTGATCCATCGTAGACACAGCGAATTTTCGTCGTTGTACTGTTCTCGGAGATGACTGCGTGGTGAGCCAAATAGTGGCAACTGCTAGGAGGTTGACTCTCATGAACTTCCTCTATTATTTTCCTTGCGAGTTGATCCTGGATGAGCTGATGATATTGTTCCAGGAGTTCCGGTTTCTGCTGCAGCATTCTGATGTTTTGGACGAGTCTGGCGTATGCAAGCTGGATATTCGATGGAAGCTTTCCTCTGTCTCCTTTGAAGGGCAGCTGTACAACGTAGCGTCCTTCGGCGTTGTCGAAGAATATTGTTTCGTTGAAATTCTTCAAACAGATTTCATCATCGGAGGTCGTGGGATTTTCCAGTATTCCTTGAGCCTCGAGGTTCCAGAATCGTTGTAGCAAGTCATCCAACCTTTCTTCCTCCGAAATTATTGAGTTGTAGCAGAAGTCGACCGCTTTCGTTGACGGCAACGGTTTTCCGGTGATTATGTCGCCGATGGAAGAGTGCACCAGCTGGTAACCATTTGCTGAATCCTTCACGTGGGATTCCTTGTTCAAATATGATATTCCCAGAAGTAATGCTGCTCCGATGAGAAGATCCGGCTTTCCTGGATGTGGTAGATAAGACGTTGAGATCCGCTGAATTCTTCCTTGAAGCAGACCACTTCATGTCGCTTGTTAAGGAACTCAAGAGCTTTGACGAGAGTATATGGGGTCCTTCAGCGTTTGAACTCCGAGTGTGTTGATGGTTGGGCAGGAAGTGGTAGAGGAACTTTCTTTTCGAACGTGACAATGTGATTTCTTCGAGTCTTCAGTGGGTAGCCTGCAGAGAAGCAGCTAGCTCGGTGGTAATGTAGCTCCTGCTAGAGCACTGTCAAAGGAAGGACATCGCCTTTCACAACTCTTCTGGGCGTTTTCGGATTGACAGACGTTGACTTCGGTGCACATCAGTAGAACAGCCGGTGGGGGAAGATGCTGCCATTGTACTTGTAGAAGCGGTGCGTGGTAGCAACTATATCCTTTCGGCGACACTGTTGCAGGCTTTTTCGCAGGAGTGGGGCGTGCGTGCAGTGTCGGATGCAAAGTGTACCTGTTGAGACGCTCCTGATTTTCTTGTGTTTTTCCTTGTGTTTGACAGGTATGGTTTCTTCTCTAGTTTCTGTTGACTTCCCGACGTCTGGAAACATAAGTGACTGTATGAGACGCTTCGAACATTTGCCGACATGACCACTTCGATGGGCAATCCTTGTCGGTTGTTTCCCCGAACAAGCAATTGAAGCAGAGTTTTTTATCTCTGGTGATTTGCACCTGAGGCTGCGGTGAAGGAAACTTCGAAACAGTAGAGAGCAGAATGCTGATTAGACTCACAGAACGCGCAAATTTTGGGTTCCCACGAGCAGGTAGATGTTGGCGGTATTTTTTGACGGCACGAAACGTTGCGGTAACTCCGTATTTCTTCTTGGTTTCTCTCTTCTTGAATTTTTTTGAAGCGCTGACGTATCCTTCTTCTCGAGATTGGAGGCAAACTTTGCAGTGGAAGTCCATTTCCTGAGTGTCGCTTCTTTGTGGACATCTCCTGTCAGAACATGCATCAGTTTCTGTCGAGTGAGGTTGTGTGAGTTTCCCTTTTATCGTATATTTTGCTCCTTACGTGACGAGGGAGTTTGTTGAGAAGGATAGCGCCAGCGCAATCTCTTTGGAGTCATCGTCGTACGCACAAAACTGACGATGGAGGCAAACGATCCGGTTATTATAGTGAGCTGCAGGTTATTTCTTCGTGGATCACATGACGGCAGATTGGCTAACTGGCTGAAAAGTATATGCCTAGTTGTTACCTTGTCGTCATACCGAGTTTTTGAGTATGTCCAGAGGCAATGCGGTAGTTCGTCGCTGTCAGTGCAAGGCCTTGGATCGACTGGAGAGCTCTCCTCGCAAACATGACTTCAAGAGAGAGAACTTCGTTGTATCATCCAGCTCTTGCTTTATCACCGATCAATGTCGAATACCGTGAGAAAAATTCCGGGTATTCCAACAGATTGCCATCAACTTGGAAATCGAGCCTGCTCAGGATAGAAGCGTCGACAAAACTCATCGTGGAGGTCCGGTGTTCCGTGGTTGATTGCTGAAGGAGGCGCTTAGGTAAGAATTGATCGAGTGGCTGCCCGTCATCTGGAGAAGAGTGGGACGACTGCATTCATCATGACTGGCAAGTGACGTTCGCGAACGTCGAATTGATTGAGTTTATAAGTTCATCCAATGTTTCAAGAACACTCACTGCGTCCTGGATCACTTTCGTGTAGTCGCCGTATTTTTTCCCAACTATTGAAGGAAAACTCGCTCTTCTTCCGTATCGGCTGCCTGCGCGTTGGTCCACTCCAAGTGTAGTTGTTCGATATTTGAATAAATTTTGAGCAACTCATTCGTGCCTCGACGACTTCTTACTCTTGAAGTCTGTGTTTCCTCATTGTTGAACTGCGTGAAGGTTGCTCCTTTTCTGGAACGTTATGATCGCGGAGGATCTTCCTTGACTGCATCACATTGACGGATGAGCTGCTTCTTCTTTATTCCGATGAGGCGGCGAGTTTTTCCACTGTCGAACATGGCTGTAGTCTATCTGGTGTTGTATGTGTTGACGACGAATGGCGATGTAACGTCCAGGTGTAAAGTCGAATTCGTAGGTAATGCGTGCATTGGTAGCGAGTGCGACGACTGTACTGCCAGATAGGCAAATAGATCGAACGAGTACTGGAGACAGGCGAATGGACGTCGGTACTGCAGATAGGGCTAGTGGACGACGGTACTGCAGATGAGGCTAGTACGACGGTAGTGCAGGTAGGGCGACATGGACGATGGATTAGCAGATAAGGCGAATGGACGACGGTAGTGCAGATACGCGAAATGGAAGACGTACTGCAGATAGGCGAATGGACGACGTACTGGCAGATAGGCCGATGGACGACGGTACATCTGTAGATTGGCGAGGGATGATTGTTACTGCCGATGATGAGTGATCGACGTTAGTGTCTGATGAGAAATGGACGGGAGTACTTGTCGATTGGATGGGGTACTGTCGATGGACGAGGGTGGGGAAATGGACGGGGACACTGTTCGATGGGTGAATGGGACGAGATACTGTCGTTGGGGAATGGACGACGAACTGCAGATGGACGATTGATGCCTGGCAGGCGATTGAAACGGCTTTATTGGCACGCTGGTTGAATGGACGACGTACTGCAGTGGACGAACGGCACCGCAGATGGGTTATTATGGACGCACGTTACTGTGGGCCAGTCGCTGTGGTGGATTGTCGGGCTTCACTGCGTACGTATCGCGAGGAATGCCGTGGTCGCCATTTCTTTGGACGGACCGACTATAGCGTAACGTCTGGCACGTGTTCCGCAGCAGTAAATAGAGCCCTGAGCCATGTAGCAGTGGCAACGTCAGAAAAAATCTCAAGATAAACACCGCTACCATGTCGTCATGAAAAACGTCAATGATATACCAAATGGAAAAGTCTCGTGGAAGCAAAATGAACGTTGGAACAGCACTACAATTACAACCTTTGTCGGCGAAGGAATTTGAACTGACATCCGTGTATATGAAAACGCTAGCATGCACGGCGGTCGCCTCAGACCCTCATCGGATCCTAGCCACTGTCTCTAACCGAGGCAAGATTGGAATTGGCCTGCACTCAGCGCTAAACGGAAATAACGGCAGAAATCAGTTGCGTTCTCAGGGGCAACAAGTGGCGTCGTATGTACGAGAAGCAGGCCATGTAACACAATAACATTCAAACTTACGAAACGTGCCTCCCAGTGTAAAAGAAAACTGCACTTTCGATGCCCCCGGGAGGTCTTGACGAATTCGTCATCAGGTGGAAATCGCCCCCCCCCCTCGAATCATATCACCGATGGTCTTGCACGTCGAAGAAACGAACAACTACGAAAGTGATCAAATTATTGGTAGGGCATTTCAAATTAGGTAATGTGTTTTCATTGTTTGAAGACATCCTTTACAATGGCTACCATATTTTCCTTTCATCTTTATGTATTTTGGATTGAATTTCATATTTTCACTCTACTCGTACCTTTTTCTTGATTGTTACAATGCTTAACTACCTTACGAAATCGATCAGAAATCAAAAAGAGTATGTTTAAAAGCAAATCTTCCTCTGCGGGAGTTTTCTGGCATTCTGCAAAATTCTATAGAAAGAAATTAGCAAGAATATTTGATAGACTTCCATTCGCCTTCCACAAGATTGTTAAAATGTTTTGCTTTTGGATATTTGAAATGATTCATTTTAATTAGTCCTGCCGATAGCTTCACTGATTAAGCTTTGCTTTCTTTTTGACATACATATTAATATGTCTTTCCCTCTTGGCACCCGTTATAAACCACCCATGCGATAGAATAAACGGATTTCCAACCCATCGTCCACGTCCTAAGAATAGTGGCTCGTTCGCCTGCGCCCAAGGAAGCTTGGAGTAAACAGGGCCGTCATTCTGTGGCTGTTGATCGACCTTATAACATTGCGTAACTTACGAGTTAAATAAGCTCACGCCTCGAGTGCGCTGATTTGAAAGTCTACCCTCTGCACGGCAAGCGTTATTCCTCTCTCAAGACAACGTAGGTGTTGCAGCTTTCCTTGGTTACGGACGGAGTGGCGCCTACAGGACTCAATAATATGGGACAGGTCGAAAAATAACGCTCGATCTCTGGGACTTTTAAGCTTTAAGGACTTCCATCAAGGTCATATGATAACCCATCGTGGCAGAAACCCAGAGGACACGTCTCCAACTAATCAGGGATAAAAACATCCAAATGACTTTTGGTCTTTTTGTAGAAAGCAAGTTCAATCAACAGTGTCCGGCAGGACTTTTTCGACCGCAACGCTGTAAGAAGTTTGTCTTGCAAATGTCTTCCCTACTAAATATGAAAACCCTCAAGAGAGCAGGAGCTATCCATAGGATAGTGTTCGCTTCGCCTGCGCTCAGTACTATCTGGCACTCCTGCAGTTGAATAATGATCGAAAATTGCTGAGGTTCGCGAGTGATTGTGCTTATCAGCAAAGCTGCAGGTGCAGACGCCCGGCGCGGCCAACTCAGGAAAAGGTAGAAAGCAATTTCGAATTTTTCAAACGTCTGAAGACTCTAAAATGTCATTGAGCTCAATGGAAAAAAAAAAAGTCCCTTTCCGAAAAAGTGACTTTTTGGGTTCAAGTGCGACCTCGTATATATGGCGGGCACGACTCGACGGGTTTGAAAGGGAGAGCCAAGATCCACTTACAATTATCTAAGTCTAACTTGAAGACGTAATGTGGACTGCATTCGAAATCAACCCCTGTATGATTTCACTGTCAAAAAAGGTGTAAGGTAGCTGCGGTATATCGGGCACAAAATTCTGTCGGTGATTCTGAGCCCACAGTTTCTGGATGCCTATGTGCTGTCTTACATGCGTTTTGGCATTCTCTCTTGCGCTTTCTCTGGCCTTTCGCTTGAATCCACATCGATTCTTTACCCCCTCGCTCGCAACATGTGGGGCCTTATTTGGGGGGGGGGGTGACAATTTTCATCATCCTGGCTTTGTTCAGGGCAAGTCAGCTAGTAACATTCACTTTTGTTTTCAGAACCGGCCGCGATCTACGAAGCTTGATCCCGAAATCTGCTTCAATCGTCCGCCGGAGCATTATCTGATCGATTGGAAGGATCCACCCGCGTTCAGGAGGCTTTCGAATGAACGCTCATCTACTATCAGTAAAGTTTTGAGGGGCGGCCAGCAGAGGAAACCATTCGGTCACTAATTTTCCCACAATCAATCCGATTAAAGCGTTGGACTACAGGATACAGAGCAAAGCACGAGAAATCCAAAAGAAATAGGTGGAGGGGCGTTCTCAAGGAGGGGCGTCGCTGAAGCCAACGCCAGGGCCGATGATTTGGATTCAAACGAGCAGTATGGCGTCTTAAATGGAACATCAGGCGGACCATTGGTATTAACGCTATTAGAACAAGAGGAAGAACATCAATGCCCATCACGATATTCCTCAGCGTAGGGAACATTGGAAATTAAGTGTACCATTTCCAGAAAACAAAGCTAGTACTTCGGCTGGCTCTCTTTCCAAATTTACTTCTTGCGAATGAAACTAAGAGGTAGTTTGTGGTAGAGAGTGTTCAACGATCGACTCGCCCCCCCCACACACAAATAACTAGATCCGACGCCTAGATTTCAGCGCTACTGCCAGGCGGTTTAGCTGCTGATGTAAGCGTAAACAAAATTTAGTTTCTTGACAACATACAAGCGCGAAATTCAAGTGATCTCCAGTTGCATTGAGGGCGGTCAAAAGGAAGGGGACGGGGTACCAGACCTGTCCGTTCATGTTCCTTATTGTTTCGACGGTGATACTCGTGAGGGGGCAATAAAGACCGCTTACAATGTGTATGGTCGCTAAGCGGTCGCTTCGCGGGCGGTTCCTGTTCTCGGAGGGAACGATGAGGGGTAACTGGCGACGTAAAATAAATGTACGGCCTTAAGTTACACACGCACGCCCATTCTTAGCAGCAATTACATAAATTGCCGCGAGTAAACTCGGTATACGGGCAGGTGGTCAACCAGGCGATCTCTCCGACTGCGAGGGTCCCAGGGCTAATTTTACCGGGCATCTACCAGTCCAGGCAGTTGTAAGCGAAGGTAAAGGAGGAAGGATTGCAGAGAAGGAAGGAATAAAAAAAGAAAGAAGGAGGGAGAAAAAAGGAAAAAGGGGAGAGCTTTCCGTTGACATGTGCCCTGAGACGTAACGTCAGCGCTTTTCGAGCTGCTTAACATTGTCCACTCTCTATTTTTGCTGTCAAACAAACGTTGACCGCCCCTAAGGGATAGATGGGTTCGGGCTGTGCGGAATGATTACTGTAGCTAAGTGAGTACTGTCTTCTTATATCTTAAAGTAACACGAGAACCCAACAACGCCCTGCCGGCTATTCGCTATGAGACGTATGTAGATGGAGGCCTTGAAAGCCGCTTAAAATTCAATACTTCCCCGGGACTAATCGACGCTTCTTTGAAGGGGTTTACGGACAATTCAATCATGCCGCATAAGTTATCGGACGATAAGTGACTAGCCGGCAAGCGGTCCGGTGAATAGTGTATGAGCGCACTAGCTTTCAGAGAACACGATGTCACCCATGTTGGAATCCTTCAACTCGTGAAAATCTTGAACTTTTGTTTTGAAAGCACTTTATATTATTAGGTTGGCGAGAAAGTTCTTCACATCGTGTCTTTTCGAACTCAATAGTTGGCCCATCTCTAAGATTGATACCGGTAATAGTAAGCAATTATACATCAGGGAGTGGTCTTTCTATTAACACTCGCCTTGACTCCTGCTTCTTTCTTCGCAACATGATCAAGGGTTATATCCGCTACCAATCGTA